TACTCATTCACATCCCATCAGCTATTTAGTAGCTATGCTTTGTGTTCCTAGCTCTAATGCTGTAGAAACTGCAGTTTTTCCCGATTTGCCACGCCCCTAGTGGCCGTAGACACCTAGACACATCATTTTTGGTCAGTTCTTAGAACGATCTAACTTGTAGCTTGTAGCTTAGCTGCAAAATTTAAATGCTTACGCTCAAAATAAGTGAAAATTATAGGGTATTTTTTGATTATTTTTTATTTCTGTATCATTGATAGAGGAGCTTACCAGTAACTAAACTATCCAAATTTGAAGAAGTTTTTAGCTCTTAAACTATGAGAGATATGCACTTCATACGGACAGACGGACGGACAGCAAGATGGACATGCACAAAACCAATATACTCATTTCCCTTTCGTGAATAAGTATAATCACTGTACCCTAAATTAACATTTGAACAACTTGTTCAGGGTATAAAAAACTAGTGCAATATAAATAATTAATAAGTACGAATTTCCTGTACAATAGATGAGGACATAAAGTACTTGGATTAGAGATACGTTTAAATAAACTCAACTGAGTTTATTAGTCTAGGAATTATTTCAATGAGTGTGCATTTCTCCCTCACCCTAAAAAAAAGTTTTAAAAATATCTATAATATTTAAATTCTTTTCATAGTTTTTATAGTATTTTGAAAAAGATTTGTTAATGGAAATGTTGGTCGTATACATAGCTTTATATTTTTGATATATTTTAAAAAGTAGTTTAAGATCTGTTGAACAAATTTGCATTTATCATTTATCTCGGCATGGAGCTAAACGTGCTTCATTCGCCCGCCTTACGCACTAGAACTGAAGCTCAATTATCAGCGTGGCATAGGTTATATGACTATAAATAGTAACTAACTCTGACGTAGCGCCACGTAATTATATAAACAGCTCGTTCAATAAGTTGTTCAATCATTCAGTTAATTACGTAGCAGGGCTTGTTGGGCCGAGTTGAATGAACTTTGTTAACTAGTTTTCGCACGAGTCTCTGCGTATATATCACAAACATCATCATCATCATCATCGTCATCATCATCATCATCATTATCACTATCATACCCGCCAACAAAATCTATTGTCAACTGTTACGTAATTTCACGAGTGAAAAGCTTTAAAAGCTTTGTGCTTTTCTCTCTCGTAGCGCAGCTAAGCCATAAGCTCATTTTTGCAAAACAATTTACAGCTATGAATGCCGTCAAGGTCGCTGCTGTCGAATGATCCATAGTAAGAGCGCCCTACACCGCCATTCGCCACCCCGCGTCTTTCCTTGCCAACTTTGAACGTAGTTCCGTATTTCTTCCCACGTCAAGTTTTGAGCTTTATTTTACCTTTTTTACAATTGTTTACTTATCGGTTATTGCTCTTTAAAAAAAAAACCTCGCTTTGATGAAATGCTGGGATCACAGATACCCTATGGCTGTCTAGAATATGCCAAACATGTCCTTTGTCAGCCATATGTATTTTTCCAATTTTTTTCTGCATTTAATTTATGTGTTATGAGTCTGTATATCGAATTTGATATATGTAGGTTAGCTCAAAGATCGATTTGAATCGATATTATGTATTTTTGTGTATCTTGCTATGCTTTATTGCATTGTCCTATTTTCGGAGCTCTTTGGAAACACAATTGTGTACAAACTTCTAAGCAGTTGATCGATTAATGGATCAAAATATCGATAATCTTAATTGTGCTTTGATTTTTTCGTTCATCTTCATACTAATAATTATCGATTTGTATGCAATATTATATTATTATATGCTACCATAAGTCCAGAATTATAGTCTAGCTATAATTATGAGTTTAGCATATATCGATTGTACGGAAATTAAACTAGATATTTTTATGAGGTAATATAACATGTTAGATGTATCGATATGTTATCGTTTTTGAAATAGCTACTACAATCTTAGTATGTATATCAATTAGTTCAAGATCCTTGTCTTAGCTCTTCTTACATACGCTCTTCCAAAACCAATTCGATCTAAAATATCGAAATAGCCTAGAGTCTAATAGAGCATCAAGGGGAAATTTTTATATAATCTGATGACGAGTGGACTGGTTCAATCAGATGTGGATAGCAATAGAGGCTAAATTATGGGATATTCGATAATTGTCGTGTAGGAATTTGCTTAAAACTTGGATAGTGCTTCATTAGAATGTGTGACACGGGCAAATTGCTGAGATAAATCCCATTATATTCTGTGCATATATAGTATATCTATATGATAGTATGTACACAAATAGCTGTGCGGCTGATCATCGGTGCAATACTTGTGCTTTAGCTGCGATTCTAACTATCGGTCAATGCACCTCGTTGGGGTAGGGGCGGCTGACGATGGGGAAAAAGCTCTTGGCTTTCAGCTTGTAGTGCCTGCAGTGCGAGTGTCTTAGATAAACAGGGTTACAGGGGGCACAGGGGGGGGAGGGGGAGCGGCTATCAAGAGCGTGCGATTAGAAAATACAAAAATATCAGTAGTAGTTAAAATAAAACAACACCAACAACAACAACAATAACTACCGCAAATGCTGAACCGTGTTACGGCCGTATAAATATGAATCGCATCGCCGTCAACAATCACAATTGGCCATGGCATTAGAAAAAGTTCGGTTGATCGGTTCAGGGCTACCTCTAGGCGCCGTTCAGGGTCTGCTAATCGTCTGCCTGGCGCTGGCATTGGGCCAGCAGGAGGCGGCGGGCGCCTACAGTCAGCAGGAGCTGCTCACCTGGCTGCAGCAGAGCAACCTTGGCTACCAGGTGCTGCAGCAGGCGAACAGCTCCAGCGACGAGCTGCTCTGCGCCACAGAGGTGGGCCTCCTGCTGCAGGCGGCCGAGCGGCACGCTCTGCCAGCGTTGCAAGGTAAGCGAGAGGAGGCGAATCGATGCTCAGCTGGAGTTCTGCTTAGCCCTTAGCCTTACCCCTTCTGCCTTGCAGTGCTCGATGCCTGGGGCAAGTTTCCGCACGGCCTGCTCTACGGCCATTTCAGTGATCTCGGCAACTACGAGTCCTGCCTCAGCCAGAGCCTGAGCAACTCAGCTACGGCCCTAGCTGCCAGCAAATACTGCTTGGCCCACATCGCATTCGAGTCGCTCTTAGCCATGGACGAGGATACGGTGAGCATTAGCATTGGCACCTGCATTCCGGCTGCCTGCAGCGCCAATCAGCTCAATCGCTGGCTCAACAACTATCTGCAGCGCATCTTCGAAGATTCAGTGGCTCCCCAGCTGCAGTTGGTGCAGGAGTCCAATTGTGCCCTGGCCGCCAGAGAGCCAATGGCGGCACTTGATTGGTTCGCTATGTAAGTGGATCGATAGACAGATATATAGAATATATAGTCTACTCCTCACTTAACTACTCCCCAGTGTTTTGCTCATCACTTTGGCCCTGCTCGTCATGCTGTGCACGTTGTTGGACTACTTCAAAGGTGAGTGCTAGACTTGCGTAACTTACATAACCTCAATACTGATAAGCCCACTAATTGATAAGGTCGGTCCAGGCAAGGAGCGAATTCATGTATGTATGTATACAGATGTGTGTATATATATGTAATAGCTGAAGGAACTGCCCATATATTCGCATGCCTCTAGTACTCATTCAGATTCTCCTTCGACTACTTTGTTTCAAGTTTTTTATATCCATTGATAATGTCAATCTAAGGGTATATTGCTTATATGTAAGTGTATGTACTTAGTAGCGGCAGACATGGCAGATATCATTAGATATATATATAGAACCTTCTCAGATCAACCACCTTCTTTCACACCATGACAAGCTCCCAGAGATTTCCCTGTCTCTTGTCCCACTGTGCTCCTTTCTGAATGTCTTCTCCCAGAGATTTCCCTGTCTCTTGTCCTACTGTGCTCCTTTCTGAATGTCTTCTAAACGGAGTGAGCATTTGACGGTAGAAATAGCCAGAAATGAGAAATGTACAGAGAAACGAGGCAGCCTTGGAGCAGAGCTAGCCACGTCTTATTGTCTACCATAAATATACTATCTCCTTCTCTGTCCCTCTCTACAGCAGTTTCTTTCGCTCGCGCTATTTACTTAACTCTCCTTCTTTCTCTGATGGATTGAGAATGATTATTTCTATACGTCCTCCGTCTCTCTCTCTCTCTCTCTCACTCTCTCTCTCTTTATCTGTCTCTTTCTCCGTCT